GGAATGCATTTAAATAATTCTCAGATGAAAAAATCAGATTTTTACAGAACTTAGTTTATTTACTTGGCAAGTTCTGAAGTAAACATGGTATAATGAAAAAAAAATTAAAAAGTTGTAATTATATCTTCCAAAGAGGAAGAAAAATATTTACATTCATCTCTTCCTAAGAGTATGCAGTATATTGGAAACCACTAACACATTTTAATTTTCTTATTCAACAATACTCATGTATTTCTGTTTAATACTATGATCCAGGTCAATTTACAGTAGAGATTTGCTTTTATTGCTACAATATAGTGTTATTTACCTTCTTCCTGCAAATAAAAATGTTTATATGTTGTCATTAGCCAGACAAAGCAGACAAGACTTAAGTAAAAATAGGATTTGGAAATTCATTAGCAATAAATAGCATGTCTAGATTTGTGTAACATGCACAAGAAAAAATGAATTCAGAATGAGCTTTGAAACACACACATCTTATATATAATGGTGTATTTGAAAAAACTTTGATTTTTTAATCTGTTCAAATTCTGCTGTGACAATTCTATAAACTATAATTTATTTTATTTTTACATTTCCAATCATTCTCTCCCCTGCTTCACACGTCAACTTTTTTTTTCATATTTTGTAAATCCATTTTGTATGTTCAAATAAATAAGATATTTTCGTCATATATGCTCAAATTTTTATTTTATTTGCCAAATGGAATCTAATTACATGCTAACATAAAAATCCACAACCTGCTTAATATGAAAGAAGATTACCTTTATTCTGGCTGTTCTCCATATTCCCATCCTGCATTTTGCCTATATGATGAAGAATTTTAACAGACAACAAAGAGCAGACAATAAACAGTCATCACACTGACAGAACACCACAATGGGAATTTAAATAAAAAAACGCAGATGAAAATAATGATTGTGTTTCATATATACATTTATGATTAACAGGCATTAACATCATATTTTTATTTAAATGTATGAAAAAACTTAGTTGTACAAACTCAAAGATCTGCAACCAACTCCAACGTTCTAACAGCTAAAATAACACCAGTCTTGTTTTCTTACTGAAATAAAAACAGCGATTCATATTTTTTTTTAATTAATTTTCTTGGGAAAAATATAATGAAACATTTAGTATTAGCTAAAACTCACGTAGTATTCTCAAACTACAGTTTCATCAAGATATGATTTAGTACATGGTTTTACAAATAACATTAATTTTATTATTTTATTTTGATTGAAACAAGTTATATTAATATTAACAACAGCCTTTGTTTTAAAATCATCATATTGGAGTTACACATCTTGGAAAAGTGATATTGCTCACTCTTTGTAACTGTGAATGTGAGCTGACTAATGCAGACACTTTGGCAGCCTAAATCATGACTGTCCAGTTTCAAGTTGCATACAAGTCTTGGAAAGGGGATGCCATGTGTATCTTCTACACATGCATTGCTCATATGGAAAAGGACAAACACATTTGAGTCTGTATACATACTTCCTCATATTTTGTTTGCCCTTTTGGTCCATTCTTCATGTTAAATAGACAGTGTTTAAATAAAATTAAAAGAACAGAAAAGTAAACACAGTTCTTATATCAGAACTGCACTAATAGACTATGATTTCTGACACATTTAGAGAGATTAGAATACAATATAAACATGAGAGAAAGAACATTGCTATGCTTTGATGTTCTTTATATACCTACATTTGGATTTACAATACAGTCTCTTTCTTTCTCTCTCACAATTCAACAATCCTTGCATCAATACCTTGTCTATATTTAAAAAAAACTGTTTTTTACTTGGCAGCAAGAAATGTTTTTAAACTGCAGTAATTATTATTAATTCTGAAAGCACGATAATTTATAAGATCATTGAAATGTATGTTGTTCAGTTTACTTTGGTAATTTTTGGATGATGTAACAATCTATTCCCACATTAGAAACAATGCAAATTGAAAAATATATTAAAACCAAAAGGGATAGTTATGTTCAAAAGACCAATTCTTTTAACGAAACATGCATTAATTGACTTTGAACATTTTTTTTTAAAGTCAATTAGTTACTATCGATAGTGCATTGTTGAATGTAACGTCCTACTGTCTTAGAAAAGCGTATCACTGGACTGGCTTTAATATATATGGCAAAAGACACCAAATATTCCTGAACATATTGATTTCTGATCTGAGGGAAAGCCTTTTTTGGAGTTAAAGTCTTAATTTAGGGCAGACAAGTCTATTTTTTAAAAAGGTAAAACATCTTATTGAAGGCCTTCTAACATTTACCTTCTAATAGTTAACATTTTCTCATACCAAGAGCATTAAGGCTTCCAAAAGTGGTATAAATCACAAATACCACAGTATGTAGGTCTAAGAACTTAATTCAACTATGCAGTGTTGCTGTACAGGTTGAACCTCTCTAGTACAGTAAGTACTCTCTGGTCCTGCAATTACCATGGTCCATTTTGATTTTACTTAGCTGGATGTCCAATTTTCATGGATGTGTCGAAGTTTCCCCATGGTCCCATGTTGACGGACCGTCCCCCCATGCTTTATGAAATGGACTTATGGACATGAATATACATAATTCAAAGGTGCTTGGAGCGAATTATTTCATGTAACCCATCAATCTTCATGTCATGATCCACTGGTTCTGTTTATCTTTGATGTATGTATCATTTTTGAGTGTAAAATTAGACATATGGAATGGGGAATACTTTGTAGGTTTCAAATGTGTGAATGAGAGACATGGAGGGTGTTATCCTCAATGTCTTGATGAGCAACTGTTAAACAATTTCTTTTGACCTTCAGTCTGAGCAGTGGTTGGTAGGGAGTGGCCTCAATTCTTTAACAAAAAGAATCGGAAGCAGAGGCCTAAGTCTTTTGGCTGGGCTGTAACTGAAGAAAAGGAGCTGAAGATCCCAGGGAGAAAGCTCTGGAATGGGCAGCTGGAAAACAGGCTTTCGGGTGAGTTTGAAGAGTTTGTACTGAGGTTTCAGTGTCGAGTTAGCCAAATGTTTTTGTTTCTTTTGATTTGTAACCTACTTTGCTCTGCATGTTCTTGCTTATTACCCCTTAAATCCTACTGCTTCTTAAATAAAATCATTTTTATTTTCTATCAAACCCAGTGTAAGGAATTGTTACCTGGGGGAGCAACCAGTACATTCCCCTTCTCGTTGGTAAAGGGGGCTTACTTAATTCTTTGGGGTTCAATCCCATCTGGGGAGTGTTATCCCAGGAAGCTGGGCCCTAACCTGCATTCTCCTCGGACCTGAAGATGTTCAGTGTCTGTACTGCTTCTCGGTGAGATCTCAGCTCATGGCCTTGGTGGGGGAGACCAGCGGAGCTGGCCCAGCAGGATCTGGTGGTGAGAAACCCCAGAAAGTGAAAAGGAGAGTGACAGTGGCCGTGGTAGCATCCTGGGAGGCACCCCCAAGGGGTGATCTGTGACCGCACCCTGTCACACCCATAACATTTGTTTACAGCCACCAGTCCCGGCTCCCAGTGATCTGTGCTGTTATTTAGTTCTAATTTACCCCTACACGTCTTCTCAGAGCTCAGTAAGCAGTGGAAGTGTTGTCATGCTGCTAGACAATACTGACTTCCCATGGTCCGTCAAATTCTCTGGTTTGGCACCGGTCCCAAGGGTGCTGAGCTAAAGAGATTCAACCTGTAGCTGTGCTGGTCCCAAGATATTAAAAAGGATTAAAGAAGCGGCCTGCATTAGTGTCAAAGCTTGTCTCTCTCATCAACATAATTTGGTCCAATAAAAGATGTTACCTCACCTCCTTGTTTCTCTATTATACACAATACCTATTTCATAATTAGGAATATAAGAATTACCACATTGGATCAAACCAATGGTTCATCTAATCTGACAGTCAGTTCATGAAAATAACCCATATAAGATGTTTTGAAGCAAGGCATAAAACCCACATAATGGACAACTACTGGCAACAACATGAACAAACCTATGTGGGAAGTACCTTCCTCTTTCTGGCAGTTATAGGTTGATTTATATCCTGAAACAAGAGGGTTGCTATCCCAGTTAAATGTTTAGCCTAGCTAGTCTAACTATAAATATTCTTACTACTGATGTAGAATGAATGAGTAATTCTTTCTTGAATCATGCTAAATATTTTGTCTTGAAATTATCATGTGGCAGTAAGTTCCAAAGCTTAATTATGCATTGTATCGAAAAGTTTCTTTTTGTCTTTCTGACATGTTTGCCTGTGAACTACACTGTTTGACTTCTTTTGACTCTTTGCATTACGAAAAAGTAAATTAAAGCACTTCTCTTGAACATTCATTATTTTATATATTATTTTATATTTTTCTTCTATTTTCACTCTAAATTAATTTTTTTACTCTTGAGGTCTTCTCACATGCAAGTTTTTCAATACCACTGATAATTTTCATTGCCTCTCTTTGGACTCTTATTTGTGCTAAATCCTTTTTGAGATGAGGTGAATAGAGTTGACGACCAGGTGAGCTCACTGATTCACATTATGGCTTTTCCAGTACTATTCTCTATCACTTTCTTAATATAACCTGACATATTATTGGCTTTTTTGAACATTATTTTCCATCATATTGACGTTTTCACTGAGATGATCAATGATTGTGTTTGGGTCTTTTTCTTGATTAACCACAGTTAATTTAGCAGATATCAATGTGTGAGAGTGGTGGGTTTATCAAACACCAAAAATCAATTGATTAATAATGGCAGCATTTCCTGAATAATGGATTTGATGAATCTTTCAACTGGGCTCCAATGTTTCATTCCACTGTGCATTACTTTGCACACACCAGTACAGAATTTAATCTATTAAACCATTCATCTCGTTTTACTGGGCTCTTTTGAAGTACCCTTACTTCTGACTAACTAGACTGGGCCCGGGCAAAACATGGCCCGTGGGCTGGATCCGGCCTGCCAAGCCACAAGATCCAGACCGTGAAGACAATGGGGAGTCCCAGGAAGGCTCCCCCGCTTGCCCTGCATGCCACTCAGAAATGTGGCTGTGGGGTGCTTTCTCTTTGGGTGTGTCTAGACTACATGGCTCCGTCGATGGAGCCATTTAAATTCGTTTATTTGGCATAGTCAAAGAAGCGGGGATTTAAATAATCCCTGCTTCATTAAAATAAACATGGCCGCCACGTTGTGCCAATGATCAGCTGATCCAGCACAGCGGGGCAGTCTAGATGCAGCGCAGTCGACAATGGTTAAATGGTAAATCAATATCAAAAGATGAGGTAATAGCTAGGGATGTAAAATCCTGTTTAATCAGTTAAGCCTTAAGTTAAAAAAATCAACTGGGATGGGGGAACTGCTCCAGCCTGGTTTGGGCAGCCCCCCTGCATGGGGTTGCCATCAGCCCCATCCTCCAAGGGGCTACTGTCTCTGTGCGGGGCTGCCAGTGTCCACCCAAACCGACAGCATGGTGAGTTAGTGGGGCTGGAGCAGCCCTCCATCTGCAGTAGGCTGCAAACAAGGAGCTGCTCTTGGGTGTTGGTTAATCATTACTGTTATATATCACCCAGTAAGGGTGAGGTTTACCGGGTAATCGGTTACCAACTCACATCCCTAGTAATAGTGCACTCTAAGCTACTGGCTATCCAAAGTTACTGACTGTCATATTGCAAATCACTTCTTACTACTCAGTTAGACAAAGTTCCCTTCCAAACATCCAGTGCGGATTCTGCTCCTTCCTTCACATGGGAACATAGTGGGGGTAAAGGCTTTTGGGTTTTAGCTATTCCAAAAAGGCTCTCCACTGGATTACAAATTAGCAGGATGCAAAGAT